TAGTCAGTCGTATTAATAGCCAACAATTGGTAGGGACTCTTCGGACCCTGAGAACGAGGCAAAGTCATTGCCCACTCTTTTGGTCTGAAAACTAGTGGAGTTTGCAAGTCTAATGACAGCATCAAGGTCTTTGCCCCGGTCTAATGACATCATCGAGGTCAAAATCCTTGAAAGGGAAGTTGTTGCGGTCGGAATTCATAGTTGGATAGTGAGATGAAAGGGAAATGAGAGTGAATTGAGTGAGATGTGAGTAGATTAAATCGAGTTAGAGATGTGGTAAATTTATACGGTTGGAAATATTTAAAAAATGTTACTCCCTCCGTCCACAAATAAACTTTACGCTCACTATTTACAGGGTCAAACTTTATTCACTTTGTTGGCCTATTTTCGTCACCCATTTGATAAAATAATATAGTCATGTCACCTCTAGTTTTGTAGATTTTTTTATGTAGTTTTTTAATATGAAATTTTTATTTTTCAATTCTACACCATTTTTCATACAAAATGATTTGAAAATAACTTCAGTCAAACATCGTAACGCGCAATGTAAAGTTTATTTATGCACGGAGGGAGTAAAACATAGGGAGCATAAAAAATCAAAAAATTAGACCGGCCAGGCGCGGCTTCTTTTTGGTCCATTGTAAATTGTAATGCTCTACCAAATTAAAATAGTTGGTTTGGGGCGGTACCCGCATAAGAGCATGGCCAACGGCGAGGCATCTCCTCGACTTGTTGTGCCACATCACCAAAATTTGGCAAGACCGTTCTGCCCCGCCTAGTATTCCATGCGCGTGCCAGATTTCTTTTTCTCTTTTATTTATTTATTTTTTTGTACAAAAAAGAAGTTTTTTTTAAAAAATTGGAGTACATCTATTTTTTGTAAAAAAAGATATGTAAAATAATTTTTAATAATTAAAATATGTTTAAAAATTGTAAAAAAGAACAAAAACAATTACTTGCCATTGTAAGGCATGTCACTCCATTCACTTGCCACACGTTGACTGGACTGATTTTGATTGGTTAAAATATTTCATGTCACCGTGTGACATTCCATTTTCTACTTGCCATTGCCCATGCTCTAAAGAGCTTTTTCTCCATTCTTGATGTATATAATTCATAGGAGTATATCTCTTATATTTTCATTTTCGGAAAATAAAATTCCTCCCCTTTAGGTAAACAAAAATTAGAGAAAATTACTTACTTTTTCCTACCTAATTCCTTAAACCAAACATAGTGATAGGTAATGCGTGAAGATTACTAATCAAAGTAAGAAAAATAAATATGGTGACAACATCATATGGAAAACTAAAATAAGTTAGAGTACTCTGTTTTAAAATTTTCTTCTCACTTACATACTATACTATTCACAGGTTAATCTTTAATCATCTTCTTTATTTATTTTCAATATTTATTAAAAAAATAATATAGTTATGTCATCTCTTGTTTTGTAATTATTTATGTGATTTTTAAATATATACATTTTATTTTTTAAATTTACAACTATAGTCAAATAAATTGAATTAAAATAATTTCAGTCAAATTTAATAAATAAAAAAGGGGAGAGTATTTTTGTTATAAGTGAGGGCTTGGTTATGGCAGTTGGATGTAATAAATGTAAAGTAATAAGAGTAAAATAGGGAGTAGTAAGTTTATCTTTAGATACTCCCTCCAATATTAAACTTTCTTCCGGTTTTGGTTACGAGATTTGACTCAAATGATTTTTAATTTGATTTATTTGTTTATATGTGCAAAATTTAAAAATATATATTATATGTTGATGATTTTTGTGTCATCAATTATTTTGTATAGTTGGACTTACACCGATCAAACAAAAAATTTGAATAGACATGTCTAACTAGTTAAAAGGTGCAGAGTGTACACTCGTTCAACGATATTACAAATTCATGGCGGTCGGCGGAGGTCCAAAGGCCGGAATAAAAGAGTTCGCTCTACTCTACTTTTAATTTCAAAAAACCTTTTTTTTACTTCTTGAACGAGAAAGTGTAAACATTTAACCAAGGGTAAATGACGAAGATTGATAGGCAAGGAGTATCATAATATGGATGACAGAGAAGAAAGTTGAGACAATTTGTGTTATATTTAGAAAAAAACAAGGGCATGCATTTATATTCATTAAACCCAAAGAAAATGCTGTTTAGGACAAATGAGAAATGAATGAGGATTTTTTTTGAAATATTTGCACTAAATAGGACTAAAACTGTAGTCATTTCCTTAAATAGCACTTAAACTGTTTTATTTTCTAAATAACACTTAATAATGTCCATAATGTCCGGTGATGGCGAACATTTACTTGAAAAATGACTAAAAGTGCTACATTGAGAAAAAAACATATGCGATGTTATTTAGGAAAAGTTATTATATTTTAGTGTTATTCACGCAAATTCCCTTTTTTAGAGAAGGCAAGGGCAAATGATCAATGAATTTAGGACCCGTTTGGTGAGCGTATGAGATATGAGTTTTCGTATCTTTGGACATCAAATTTCTATTCTAGTGATTGATGAACATAAAAAAAATTGGAATTTGATATCTTCTAACATCACAAATCCTTCAATTTGAGGATCTGATACCTCTTTCAATCATCGACTATCCCCGACCACCGGCTACCACTGAACTGACAATCACTCGCATTGCCGGCTACTTCGCCAATAACTAATTAAATCATGGTTTTAATTCTGTCCAAACAATGTCGTCATTTTAGATCTCGAAACTCAAATCATTTTCTTCCACATTTCAAATCAACATACTTGCGCGAATTCAAACGTACTTCAAGTCCTAATATCGACATTTCAATTTAACTAAAAAATAAATAAATAATCAAACTATATATAAAATTAATTATGGGACATAGGTATATAATACAAAACTTGTATGCACATTGAAAAGAAACAGGTAGCTAGCTGATGCGCATGCATGGATGGATGATGTGACGAAGAAGATATATAGATACGGCCGCGGCATAGCTGGTGCATGCAATACCTGGCCTGGTGATCGAGGCCGGAAATGATCCCATTGATGGATATTATATATTCTCTACGTCCCAAAAAGTCTTTCCTGTTTCATTTTTTGCCCATCCCATAAAACACTTTTACCGACATCTAAAATGCATAAAATTTACAACATTTCTTCTTTATTGTGGGTAGAAGTTATTTTGAAAGTTTTTTTTGGCATTCAAGGCGGAATATAAGTTTCATGGGATGCGTAAAAAATGAAACAGGAAATACTTTTTGGGACAAAGAGAGTATAATTATATATATGCCGTATAGAACAAAAAGTTTTGTTAAGAAAGAATAATGAAAGAGATGGATGGATTTCGATGGTACACTTTGTCCGGATCCATCGACCGTGTGTGATCATCATTAAACTTATAATTATTTTTAAATAAATTAATTTTAAAGAATACAAAATTTTATATCGTAAATAGGAAATTATAATTCAATTTGGACAGTAGGAGTTACATAGAGCCTGTTTGAGAATAGCGTTAGAGATTGTCGTTAGCATCATGAAAACGATATCTACGGGTAGTGTTTAGCGTTAGCATTATTTTCAAAAATAAAATTTTATTCAAAATGCTAACGTTATTCCCAAACAGGCTCATAATACATAGGATTGATGATGTTATTACAATACTAATTATACTCCTTAATAATAATGGAAGAGACAAATGTACAAGTCGTGGGGTGAAAGGTGCCATCATTGTTCTTGTATTGCTAGCCATCGGCGGTGGATTAGATAAATCTCCTCCCTAATTATGCGCCCCGGGACAGTATCTTCCTCCTTTCCTTTCAAATTAAACAAAAGATCGGAGGCGTACGTGTTTAACTATATTATTGATGCATGGATTAATTAACGTACGTACCATTTTGGAAGCTAAGATTGATCGATCCATCCATCACTTAGCTTGCATGCCTTTCATTCTTAATTATCCCCTTAATCCGATCCACGTGCGCCCAGATACATGCATACATTATGGGCCTGTTTGGCAATAGCGTTAGAGATTAGCGTTAGCGTTTTCAAAAGGCTATCTACGGGCAGCGTTAGCGTTTTCAAATTAATCTGCACCGTTAAAATTTTATCCAAAACGCTAACGCTAATCTCTAACGCTATTCCCAAGCAGGCCCTATATATATCCATCCATCCATTTTTAATATTACGGGTTTATTTATATATTCGATCAAGTCCATTTTGTTCTTTTCACTTCACACGCGTGAGCTACTTAGGGCCTGTTCTTTAGGACTGTAAAAAAAGGCTGAATGTTGGAAGAAACTGGAAAAAACTGGAAAAAACTGTAAAAAACTAGAAGAAACTGGAAGAAACTGGAAGTTAAGAGTTCAAGCCTTAAAGAACAGGCTCTTAATTATTTGTGTCCATTTTCCCATCAGATAATACGAGTTATTTTGTGTTCGGATAAATTCATGATTTAGCGTAATCACCAATCAGGTCGCGACAACCCCACATATTATAGACTTTTTTTTAAAGAAACTGTTAGAATAATAATAATAGTAATTCCTATTTGTGGTAGAAGTAGTGTTTTAGTCAGTTTCCTTTATTATTGGTTCCTATGTGTGTTAGGAATCATATCTATATATATGGCTTGTACATCTTGATTATTACTTGATTAATACAATTATTTCATTCTTCCAATATGGTATCAGAGCTTGAGATCATTTCTCTATTCTTTTCACATTAAAAAAAAGACAAAACAAACAAAACAAATTCTGCAGATCACTTGGCCGAAGAAAGAAAAAGGGCCGCCGATCGTCTTGCCAAATCGATCGCCGTCTTCACCCACATCGTCTCCTTTCTTGGTCGGTCGCCCCTCTATACTCTTCTGCAGATCTCTGTTGCTCGATCCAAAAAATCGGATTTCACCGCTACAGCGCCTCCATCTTCCCCGTTCGTCGGCTCTGTTCGCTGTTTTGCCGACCGGCGTTTCGCAGATCGGATAGCACAGCATCAAGGTTTTGTTTCCTATCAAGGCTCTAGGTTTTGTTTCTTCTCTGCCAAAAAAAAAAGAGACACAGATCCGAGCATTAATTATCATGTCAGTCGCCAAAGATCCCTTTGATGCGCTCCCAGGGGGGCTGCGATTGTTCTTACGCAATCTTCATTCCCTGGTTCCGGTAAAACTAGAGGACAATAATTATCCCTCTTGGTCCTCTACAGTTAAGGCTACGTTGATTGCACATCGTCTACTCGGTTACATTGACGGCACAGAGCATGTACCATTGCCAACCATTGTTGATGAGAAAGCTTCATCTGCTACCGACAAAGAACCTGTTATGAAGGTCAACCTTCTCTCTTCTTCATCGACGTCAGCAGCTACTAGCGCACGTCAATTTCTCTCTTCTCCAACGACGTTAGCAGCCACCGGCGCGCGTCAGACTCTCTTTTCTCCAACGACGTCAGCAGCCACCGGCGCGCGTCACACTTCTCTCTTCTCCAACGACGTGAGCAGCCACCGGCGCATGTCAGACCTCTCTCTTCTCAAAGTTTCCAGTTTCCAGCTAGTGTCCAAGCTTCCTCTTGCTTCAGCCAGAGTTCAGCTTGAGGGAGGATGTTAGACAATAATACTAATAGTACTTCTTGTAGTATTGGTTATGGTAGTGTTTCATTATTAGTCAGCTTCCTAATCCTATTTGTGGTAGATGTTGTATGTTAGTTAGTTTCCATTCTCTATTCCTAGTTGTGTTAGGAGTCTCTCCTATATATATACTCTATCATGTACTTCATAATTCAATAAGCAATATTATTATTCCAATATTCCATGTCAAGGAACCAACTCAACCACAAGCTCAAGCTTGTGGTTGTGGCTCAGGAATGATTGTTATATACTCTAACACGCCCCCTCACGTGCAGGCGTGACCTCTTTGAGCCTTGCACGTGAAACCTTAATTTTTTTAATCTGGGTGGCGGTGAGTTTCGAACTCGTGACCTCTTGGTCATTAAGGCTCCGATACCATGTCAAGGAACCAACTCAACCACAAGCTCAAGCTTGTGGTTGTGGCTCAGGAATGATTGTTATATACTCTCTAACCTACTTCATTTACTGGCACCTTGACTCTGGCGCTAGTACTCATGTGACATCTGATTTATCAAGGTTGAATAATCCAACTCCATATCATGGTCCCAATTCAGTTACTACGGCTGGAGGTCAGTCTTTACCAATCTCTCATGTTGGCTCAGGTCAGGTCTATACACCTACAGGTACCTTCACTATATCCAATCTATTACATGTCCCCGACTTAAACACCCATCTTTTATCTGTGCACCAGTTTACCACTGATAATAATTGTTCTCTTCTCTTTACTTCTAAGGAATTTATGATCCTGGACAACCACACCAATACAGTGACATACAGAGGCCCATGTGAGCGTGGAATATACACCCTTCCAGCCAAACTTGTCTCGAGTATTGCTCCACTGGTGGCTAATTCCATAAAGACAACCTCTCACCAGTGGCACTGTCGTCTTGGTCATCCATCTTTTCAAGTCACAAGATTACTTTTTTCTCAACTAGGTCTTTCTTTTTCATCAAATGTTGTTCATTGTGATTCTTGTTCTATGTCCAAGTCTCATAAGTTACCTTTTGCTTTATCTAGTACTGTAACTACTGCACCATTTCAATTAATACACTCTGATGTTTGGGGTCCTACCTCTGTTTCTTCCTTTGGTGGTTACCATTTTTATATTGACTTTGTGGATGATTTTACAAAATTCTGTTGGCTTTATCCTCTTCAACATAAATCTGAGGCTTTTGGTGCTTTTCAAAGTTTTCAATCTATGGTCAAAAATCAATTTGGAAAAGACATTAACCTATTCCGCACTGATAATGGGCGTGAGTATGTTAACCACAAATTTGGCCTTTTCTTACAAGAATTGGGGGTTCTTCACCAAAAGTCTTGTCCCTACACGCCTGAGCAAAATGGGGTTGCTGAGCGCAAACATAGACACTTGATTGAAACGGTTGTGACCCTTCTTTACACCGCGTCTCTCCCTGCTACCTTCTGGGTTGAAGCACTCTCCACTGCGAATTATCTTATTAACCGCATGCCAAAGAGCTCTCTCCATAATAAATCCCCTTATGAAGTCTTATATAATCATCCACCTGATTACTCCCATTTACGTGTCTTCGGGTGTCTTGTTTACCCTCATTTACGCCATGAAATTAATCATAAACTTCAACCTCGTTCCAAGCGGTGTATATTCTTAGGATATGAACATCTCTCCAAAGGATACCGCTGTTACGATCCCTCTACCAATCGTGTCTATGTTTCTCGTCATGTTCAGTTTAACGAGTCTGAGTTTCCCTATAAAATGTCATCTCCTCCATCTACGTCGTCTTCCCACTTTGGTGTTTTACCTCTATTTCCCACACTCCCCACTTCTCCACCTCGTCCCGCTCACATGAATCACTCGTCACCAACCCAGCCTACCACGCCCCAAGGCCAAACTCCCACACCCACCTTAGCACCGACCCATGACACCTTACACAGCCCCATACCCGATAAGTCCCCATCCCAATCCGAAACTTCCCCAACCCCCGCATCCTCAGCCGAATCCTCCCAAGCCACAACCTTCCCCACACCAACACCTCTTGTCCAACCCCCACCACCACGCCCCACTCACCCTATGACTACCCGTGCAAAAAGTGGCATCTTTAAGCCCAAACTTTACCATACTGTCATTCATACCACCCCTCCTGTCACTGAGCCCAACACTTTTAAAGAGGCCTCTAGTAATGTCTTTTGGCGCCAAGCAATGGATGAGGAGTATTCCGCCTTGATCAAACAGAACACATGGGTACTTGTTCCACGGCCTTTGGGTCGGGCTCCGATCGGATGTAAGTGGGTGTACAAAATCAAACGCAATGCCAATGGCTCTGTCTCGCGCTACAAGGCGCGACTTGTGGCAAAGGGATATAATCAGAAATATGGTCTTGACTACTCTGAGACATTCAGTCCTGTTGTCAAACAACAGACTATTCGCATAATTTTTACTCTTGCACTCACATATAATTGGCAGCTTACTCAGTTGGACGTCTCCAACGCTTTTTTACATGGGGAAGTTGATGCAGATATTTATATGACTCAGCCACCAGGCTATGTGGACTCCAGATTCCCTCGACATGTCTGCAAACTCACCAAGTCTCTCTATGGCTTGAAACAGGCTCCTCGCTCATGGTATCATCGGTTTTCTACGTTCCTCTTTGCGTATGGTTTTCGGAAAAATGCACATGACACTAGTCTCTTTATCAAGCATGGGACTACTGGTACTCTTATCTTGTTGCTCTATGTTGATGATGTGATTGTTACTGGCAGCTCCTCTACTCTTATTCGTCAGTTTACTTCTCGTATGTGTCAGGAATTCCAGACAAAAGATCTTGGCCCGCTACATTATTTTTTAGGCCTTGAGGTAACCCGCAATCCTACTTCTCTTGTTATTTCACAGCGGAAATATGCTGGTGAGCTTCTTCATCGCGCGGGCATGGATGATTGACACCCGACGGTCACTCCTCTGTCAGTTCGGCCTGCCGACGTCGGAGAAAGGGGGGATCAACTCTTCCACAATCCCACTCTCTTTCGCAGCCTTGTTGGAGGCCTCCAGTATTTGACTACTACTCGCCCTGATATCCAGTTTGCTGTTAATTATGTTTGCCAGCGTATGCATGCACCTACGGAGAATGACTTTCAGAGTTTAAAAAGAATTCTGCGCTTTATAAAGGGAACCCTTAATCATGGACTTGTATTCCGGGCCAGTGATTTGAAGTTACGAACTTACTCTGACTCTGATTGGGCAAATGATATGACTGATGGACGTTCAGTTACTGGCTACTTGATTTATCTTGGACCAAATCTGATTTCATGGAGCACAGAGAAGCAACAACGTGTGTCCAAGTCCTCTACTGAGGCGGAATATCGTGCTCTATCGTCTGCCGCCTCCGAAGTTATGTGGGTGACCTATATTCTCACCGATCTGCGTATTCCTCTCTTCACGCCACAACTCTACTGTGACAACCAGTCTGCCATTTGTCTCACAAAGAACCCCGTATTTCACAAGCGTATGAAACATGTAGGAACCGACTGCCACTTTGTTCGTGAACAAGTTATTGCTGGGAATATGCATGTTTCTCATGTTTTCTCTGAAGATCAGCTTGCAGATTTACTCACAAAAGCTCTACCGGCTCCTCGGTTCCAGTCTCTCGCTTCCAAGCTTCCACTCGTACAAAGTCGTTCAGAAGTAGTGTTTTAGTCAGTTTCCTTTATTATTGGTTCCTATGTGTGTTAGGAATCATATCTATATATATGGCTTGTACATCTTGATTATTACTTGATTAATACAATTATTTCATTCTTCCAATAGAAACATTTCAAGAAAAATTTGCTACATATAAGACAAAAAAGTAATACATTTTCCTGAATATGACCAAATGTGTTTTATTTCCTTTATGACACATAATTATATATGATCTGCATGTATGCCTTCATTTGCAACAAACGTTGGATAATTACTTATTATATAAATGATTCTACGAATGTGGTCATTAGCAACAAGTGTTGGATAATGACTCATTATTTCAATAATCATTCAAATCATTTTTATTAATGTCTTAATCTACTTAAATTGTATATTTGGTCATTTTTTTCAAAGGGAAGACATTTTAGAACTTTCTAGTGTCAAGTGTTAGACTAAATAGGACTGGTCCTATTTAAGGAAAAGTGATATATTTAAGTCCCATTTACGTAAATTAGCCATATTTGAATTTACATGTATTAGAGATAGAAGAAGGAAGTGAGATTGAAGAAGGAAAGTGTTAGAGACAGAAGAAGGAAACTGAATCCCTTTGGGATTAGGTTTAGTATCTTTCCTAGTTGGGTTATGTTTAGTATTTAGTATCTTTCTTAGTTTGTTTAATTCTTATTTTAGTAGGAATAAAAATTTCCTTGTTTACTTTACCCTCTTCCTATATAAAGAGGGTTAGATCTTTGTATTCAAAACCAATTCAGAAGCCAATTCAATATACAAAAATATTTTTCTCTATTATTTTCTACATGGTATCGGAGCCAGTTTTGAATTCTTGAGACCTCAAATACGCTTCTTCCCCTGCCGGTGGGCATACACAATTCAAGCCGTGACGGATGTAGAAAAAATATGATCAGGGAGNGGGGGGGGGGGGGGAAGCGCCCTCGTTTTATTATAAGCAATTGATAATGACAAAAGACAAATAATTTCAATTTCAAACAAATATTCAAATAAGGAAAAAATAAATTATTAATGTAGAAAACTAAAATATAAAAGATATCATAACATAATATAATTATGATATTTCAAATATTTTACATGTATATTTTATGTAAGTTATTACTTTTTTACTTTTAAACTAGGATTGTCTTTTGTCACTAGGGTCAAACTTATTTTTTATAGGGGGCGTTTTTTAATTTTCCACAAAGAAAACATTTTAGCGCAATCTATTAAAAAAATTGACTGGGGTGACTGCCCCCATATTCATACATGTAGAACGATCCGCCCCTATGATAAGGTACGATATAGTACAAAATTTAATTAACTTGTATCTATAACGAAGTACCAAATATTCAGTTTAGTATAAGATTTTTCTCAAAATATTGTTCTGGTATCAGTCTTGGTACATAAAGAACTGAAAACTGAATAATTAAATGTAAGAAATTCTAATCAAAACTCTTGTTTATATGTTTATATTCATCTACAAAAAACGAAAACTCGAATAATAGTATATAACATACACAGTAAAACTTAATCCAAATTATCCTTCATTATTCAATAAGGCCAATTATTACCAAATTATATCAAACTCACTCGTTATGTTTACGTTGTCGAACAATTTCATTACATTGTCTTCTAAATATATTTTTTAAAATATTGTTTTAGCTTTTTTAATGATGTACCGTGTAATTTTATTTCATTGTAGGCCAAATGTCGATCCAGATTAACTGTAAAAATAAAAACTAGACAAATATTCTAAGACATAGAGAGTATTTTTAACATTGTAAGATGATATGTATAATTATTAATCAATTCATCAATATATAATACATTAACTAACTTTTATTTTAGATGTATGTATTTTATTAAACAAAAAAAAGTAATTGATGGGTTATATACTAAAGATGTAGAAGAAGAAAATCATTAACATTAAACAATCTTTAAAAAATATGGATGTTAGAAATGTGTAAAACTGATAATTTTCCCGTTTCTCTTTACGAGGTTTGACCGACTTTATTTTCAATTCAATTTATTTGATTGTAGGTGTAAAATTAGAAAATAAAATTTATATATTTAAAAACTACTATCAAAAGTTCTACAAAACAAATGGTGACAAGACTATATTATTTTATCAAATACTTAATGAAAATAGTAAAAAAAGTGATTAAAGTTTGACCGTGAGAAAAGTAAGTGAGAAGAACATTTTAAGACGGAGGGAGTATTCTATTTGTGAACATCACAAAATATTGTTTTTTATCTTACTCTATTTAATTAGAAAGGGGAATTTACTTAAATAATACTAAAACATAATGACTTTTCTAAATAGCATCATATGTGTTTTTTTCCTAATATAACACTTGTATTCATTATTCATTAGTCATTATTCAAGTAAATGTTCGACATCACTGAACATTAATAAGTGCGGATGATTTAGGAAATAAAATAGTTTAAGTGCTATTTAAAGAAATGACTTAAGTTTTAGTGCTCTTTAGTGCAAATATTTCTTTTAGAAATTAAATCTCTCCTCTAAAAAAAATTAACCACCAACTTTTCAATATTCATATCATTTTTATACAAAGTACTTTTTAATATTCCCGAGGAAAAATTATCCTAAAATAATCTCAACTTTATCTCATCTCTAAAAAGAATCTCACCTTTCACTGTAATTGAAAATAACCCCAACTTTATTGAAATTTGTGAGCTTTGAGTCGTCGTTCTGTTATTAACTTCGGGTTAACAGAACAGTCTGCTTTGCACAACAAAATGAAAGTTGGGATTATTTTTTGATAGATTTTCGTTTTATTTTTTTTGTTGAAATTTTTATTTAAATTTTTAAAATGACTTTCTACTTCAATATCTTTTTCCTTTTTTAAAGATTAGTCTTATCTTATAAAAAAATAAAAAATAAATATAAAAACATAAAAAATGAGAAAAATAACTTAAACCCTACAAAATTAATAAAATAAATAAGGTATTCAATAACATTTAAATTGAAATTGAAAAGAAACAAAATAAAAATATAACAAGTGGAGTGCTCGAACATTTTGAGCATTATACAACGTATTAATGTACTACTAATTTTTTGAAAGAAGGAAGTATAATTAGGATTATTCTAGATAATGTTTCTAAAAATAAGAAAAAAGTAGTACATTAATGCTCTGCATAGTAGGTAAAAAATGTTAAAACTCACCACTCCATATATTTTTATTTTATATCTTACCAATTTCCGATTAATTTATATTGATTACTTTTTCCATTAATTTTGTATGATTTTAGTTATTTTTCTCATTTTTCCTTATTTTTAATCTATTTATTATATTTTATCCAAAGTTAGACTCATCTTTAAAAAATATAAATGATAGAGGTAGAAAGTAATTTTAAAATTTTAAATTAAAATTTCAAAAATTCAAAAACAAAAATTATATTCATAAAAAATAATCTCAACTTTCATTTTGTTGTGCAAAATAGGCCATTTCTGTTAACTTTCCGTTAGTAACTTAACGGTGATCCAAAATTCAATCATAAATTTCAGTAAAGTTGCGATTATTATGCATCACAATGAAAAATGTGATAATTTCTGAAAGACCATGTAAACTTAGGAATATTTTGGATAATTCTTCATATTCATGAAAATAAACTAAGTATTTTTTATAATTCTACATATTCATGAAAATAAACTAAGTATTTTTTTAGAACATAGAGAGTTGTACGTATTATCAAATTTATTACTCCCTTTGTCCATAAAATATCATACTCTGATCTCTCCGTCCCCAATTGATTACAATTTTTTTCCTCTCTGCTCCCGATAACTTTTGTTTGTTTACGCGATTTCATTAATTATTTGATTGATAAAATAAAATATTCTTGTCACATCTTATTTTGTAGAACCTTAATTTTGACGTTGTTTTTTAATATGCAATTTTTATTTCTTATTGATCTACCAATTTGTAAATAAAATAATTTCAAGAAATGTGATGTTTCTCCTCGTAAACCCCAATTTGTAATCAAATCGGAGACCGAGGGAGTAATGTCTACTACTCTCTCCATTTTGGAAATAGTTCCATTCTAATTTTTTACACATCCTTCCCACAAAATAATTTTAGTCCTACCTTGATTTCTTGTGAACTACCTCATATTTCACATAGATATTTAGTATCTCTGTGGCCTGTAACAAGTTGGTATATATCAACTTATAAGTGGTTTTAGGTTTTTCCTTCTCTTTTATTAGGAATAAAATATTTTGAGACATTTTAGACACAACTAAACAAAATTGGGCAACTACTTGCGAAGTTCCAATATCATCATCCTACATCTGTGGCAACCATGTGTCCTATAATCTGGCTCAGAACAGGAGTGGTAGGAAACACCCCCACGACAGCCTTTTCTCTAAAAAGTGTTTTGTGCTTTCTACCCGGCCTGGTAATTAATTAAAGTAAATGACCCATAAAATCACCGCCCCGTAGAACCCAAAGCATGAAAAAACGTGCACTACTCGAAAGCCTCTCGTAAAAGAAAAAAAAGGGGGGGGGGGACAAACATTAATAACCTTTTTTTCATATCTTAATTGAAAAAAAATTAAATAAGAAATGTTTACACTAAATAGCACTTAAACTGTTTTATTCTCTAAATAGCACTTAATAATGTCTATAATGTCCAGTGATAGATTGCAAACATTTACTTGAATAATGACTAATATATAATGACTAAAAGTGCTACATTAGGAAAGAAAACACATGTGATGGTATTTAGAAAAAGTCATTATGTTTTACGGAGTAATATTACTTACGAAAAATTCTCCAAGGAGTATTTACTACTTAAATAGCACTAAAACACACAGAGTAATAAATTTCCCTAAATAGTACCACATGTGTTTTTTCTCAATGTACCATTTTTAGTCATTAGTCGTTATTCAAGTAAATGTTCACCATTACTAGACATTATGGACATTATTAGATGTTATTTAGGAAATAAAACAGTTTAAGTGCTATTTAGGGAAATAACTTAGGTTTTAGTGCTATTTAGCGCAAATATTTAATTAAATAATCCTCAATCATCAACTTAGTAATACTATTAATAACTACCAGAGTCTCTCACAGCTTAACTGTCGTCTGAAGATCAAACACACCACAGTGAGGAAAAACTATACAACTCGCTTGCTTTCTTCTTGATCAGAAGAAGAGAGCACAAAAACAAAACAAAAAAAAAACAAGCCATAATAATTCCCACATCTAATTTTTTTTTTTGTTTTTTACTTTCGTTGCACGGATTTTTCAAGTCAGTTGTCGCCCCTGAGTTTGGAAACATCTGGACAAGTCAAATCGGCAGCAGATCCTTTGTAAACTTTGAGGGAAAAAAAATGGTGTTTTTCTCCCGCCGGCCCGGAGATTAATGAATGAATTAATTACCTAGGTATGTAACAACAAGGTAAGGGAGGAGGTTAAGGATTGGAAGAAGGGTTCGTCGCAGGGAATGGTGAGGCCCCCCGTGTCGTAGTCGAACCCAAACTCTTCTTCGGCCTGGCGAAGAAGAGTTTGGAACTCGGGCCTCGACAGGAACGAGATGGGGACAATGTGCCGGCTCCTCTTCTCCCCGACGTACACCGCGAAATGCCCCTTGGGTACGTCGAGGGGGAGGTCGTCTTCGTGGTGGTGGTGGTGGTCGAACCCCCCGGCCCCGCCGTGTTTTTTGCCGAAGCTGGAGCACCGCTTCAGTATCTGCTTGATCACTACGCCTGTTTGGGAGAGCACTCTGTTCGATCTTCTGTTGTCCATCCTTTTCATTATCATCATCCACTCCACGTGCTTTGTAATTTAGAATAAGTTTTTTTTTTTTTTTTGAATTTGTTGGTCCTTAAACAAAAAAGGATGAAATAATATTGTTGAGTTGGATTTATATGTGGAGAGGTTGAAGTATAAATAAATAAATGTGTGGGGGAAAGGATGGATGGGTTGCTTCATATGATAATGGTTTTGATCTGTTTATAGGTGAAGTATTTATATCCCCAAATGCCTGCTAGCTTTATACTCAGCAAAATAAAATTATCACTCTCTCATAAAATTCTTCTTCTTTCTTTTTTTCCAATTCCTTAAAATACTTCCACTTTCTATTAAAAAATCATTTTTACCCATACTTTTTCATACCCTATCTATTGCATCATATTTTTTTACTAATAACCAAACTATCACATCTTACTTTTACCCATCACATCAGGGACAAAATTGGAAAGTCAACCAAAATTACACTTTTCTTATTTTGGTCCAAAGTCAAAATAGGAAAGGTTTTAAGGAAGGGAGGGAGTGATAAATATTGAAAAAATGCATTTCTTTTTGTGAGAAGATTATTTTATTTTATCAATTAGAAAAAAATATCATAAACTTTTGTTTAATTGATGATCAAATTTTTATCTTATTTGACTACATATAATCAAAGATTTTGGATCTATATATTGGGAATAATCGGAAGGGAAAAATAATAAAGTAAGAGTAAAACATTGAAAATATACCAAAATAAGAGTTTCGTGTTTTTATTTCTGAAATGAGACTTAAAATACATTTACATTACCAATCATGACCATGTAAATTACGTAAAATGTAGATGTACAGTGTCGGTCATATTAGTACAGTGCAAAAATCTATATAAAAAATAAAAATATAAAATTTCTATTTTGGCACTTTCTTTATGTTTTACTCTTATTTAGGATGATTTCTTTAATAAGAAATCAAATTTTAATACTTCGTATTATATAGTTTTTCTTATTTTATTGTTTATTTATTATGGGGTTACCATAATTCCTATTTTAATTACTATGATTAGAATTGAGTTCCTTCTTAGCTTGTAATTCCTATGTATAGAGATATATTCTTCATTATTCAATAACATCAATTATTATCAAATTATATTATGGTATCAGATCGGAGTTAATGCTTTCAAACAAAAAAGTCTAGCCTTGCTAGCTATACCTTCCGCCTATCTTTGTCATCTACTGTCGACTGTCACAAATCATTACCTAGTTGTCCCTTATTCCTTTTTATCTCACCAAAAAATAAGTGTGCCTAATAGCCGCAGTCCCTTATCTCTCTCCCTAAAAAAATTGTGTGAGTGATCAAAAAAGTAGAAAGCTGCAATAATCTGTCTTTCTTCTACCATTCGAGAGTATATGGAAAACGATAAGAAGAAGAGAGCGGCCCAAAAAGAGAAAAACAAAGAAACTCCCCACCCTCACTCTAGTCACCAACACTCTCTTCAGAAAAAGCTCAACAAACATACATACTCTTAAGCTCGTCCGCCCATTAACAAAGATCTACATATCTACTTCTAGCAGTTATTTTCATAAAACCACTTCTACCAGCTTCATTATAGGACATGTGTCTCAATCTGCTCCTCGTTTTCGATGATCAGCTTGCGTGCGAGGTATATTAGGAATATTAGAAATAACAGAAAATAAAATTTTATTATTGTTTAGTTTTCTTATTTTGTTGTCATTACCATAATTCCTATCATAATAGGATTAGAATTATCCCTTAAAATCTCTATATATATAGATATGTATTCTTCACAATTCAATAAAATTACTTATTAACAAATTGCATCAGGGTCAAAAGAGAATGGTGCTCCATAAAGAATTAATGATGCATCTTGTTTATTAAATTTTAGACTTATGGGTTGTGAAAGGGTGAAAATTCAAGAAAAAAAAATCCAAAAACACAAGGACTTCATTGTAAATATGCCAAATTTGCCTCCCTCTAAGAAAATGTACTATTCCCTTATTCAAAAATACAATATCACAAACTAAAACTGAATTATTCTCATTTCTAGTTAAAATTAAACCCTAAAATCAAATTGAACCAACACACATTTTGGGTATTACGAGCCAGAGGCGAATCTAACTCATTAGCATTGGGGGTACTTAACCCAGTGGATTAAAAAAATTAATTAATAGGTCGATCATCCATTTCTTTAAAATAACGTAACACTAGTGCCCCCATTAATATAAAAATAAAAGTCAAAACATTTTTAACACTTTAATTAAACATTTTTTAGTAATCTATTTATGTATACTTTCTACAACTAAAAATATTTTATTTAATTTGTTTAGTTATAAATTGTGCGTAATATTTTACTCCCTCCGTCCAAAAAAGAATGAGACGGTTTGATTTTTTGGAAAATTAAGGGAGAGATATTTTGGTATTGACTTTCCAAAAATACATTTGATGTGATGGGTAAAAGTACGATGTGATGGGTAGATTATTAAAAAAAAGGTATGATGTGATAGGTAGAGTATGAAAAAGTAAGGGGTAAAAGTGGTTTTTTAATAGAAATGTAACGAACTTTACGAGACGCAGTTTTTCTAAACGTAACAAACTTTTTGGGAGGGAGGGAGTATAACATTGATACAAATGATTAACATTATTTTTGTTGTTTTCGGATCCGCCACTTAGCTTGGATATAATTTTATTTTGTTTTGTTTTGATATGTATGGAGTATATATTCCAATAAGGGACCCATTCCGGACACAATGAGTACTGCGGTAACTTTTAGAGCATTTGCGGGTTATTATACCAACTGTTTCATATTTTTTAAGAAAAAGTGAAATTTGTACTAAATATGACTAAAAGATAATGATTTTTTTAATATATGACTTAAACTTTTTTATTGTCTAAATAAGACTTAATAATGACCTTGTGAAAGGAATAATGTCCAGTAACGATGGACATTTACTTGAATAATCACTACTTGATAATGACCAAAAGTCGTACATTGAGAAAATAAAAACATATGGTCCTATATTAAAAAAGTCATTATGATTTAGTTTTATTTAGGTAAATTACTCTAGAAGAAATGCTCTTAACAATGTTCATATTTGGTAACCATACAAAACATCCTTGATCTATGGGCATTTACATGAATTGTGTGTCGGCTTGTTATTGCTTTTTATCCTTTTCTCCGCTTGCCTAGGCGTGATTCGAAATGCATTTAACGTTAAAAGGGAAGCATCAAAAATTAAAGTGTCTAGAACATTTTCTCCCTCCCTTCGAAAATGTTTCTGTATTAATTTTTTGGCACTCTATAAATATTTTTAGTTTCACCTAAAATGTCTGAAGTACACCTTATATATTATGTAGTGTATTGCGGTAGAAGTTGTTTTGGAGGTATTTTAGACATTTTAGGTATAATAAAAATATTTTATGGGGTGCCTAAAAAATTAAGACGGAAGTGATTTCAAGAATAGAGGAAGTATGATTTTAGAATCTGATTTGCTAAGAGCTTTAATTTGCCAATCTTGAGAAAATTTTATATGAGTAATATTTGCGATGAAAAACATTTTATTGGTTTGAAAATAAATATATCCTTGAGTTTTTTTGTCACTCTATGTGAAGAACTTTTTCTTTAAATGGAGGCATCAAGAATATTTTATTTTAGACTTGTAAACTTACATATTTAAAAAAGAAATCACCCTAAATAAGAGCAAAACATAGAAAAAAATATCAAAATAAGATTTCCATAACTTTATTTTGTAAATAGCAATTCACACTGTAACAATGTGACACTGTAAAAAAGTATTTTACTATACTTTGTGGTAATGTAGATGATCATGATTGATAATGTAAATGCATTTTAACTCTTATTTCGAGAACAAAAATATGAGACTTATTTTTGGTATATTTCTAATGTTTTACTCTTACTTTTGTCTTTTACCTTTTTAAAAGCTACGTTAAAAATTCTACTCCCTCCGTTCCTTAAAACAGTTCTTGTTTTGACTTGGGAGGAATTTATTTTCATAATTTGATCTTCTAATTATATGCCTATCATCGAAGAAAAAAAAGAGAAATTATTTAAATGACTTATTATATCAATGCAAATTGAATGGAGTATATTGCAATAACTTAATTAAGATATACGAGTCATTTTTTCCCAAAAAAGGAAGTGTTTTAGGGAAAACGAAAAAAATGAAAGAAGAACTGTTTTAAGAAACGAAAGGAGTACAAAATAAGAGATGATGACAAAATGAATATTTTATTTTATTAAATAATTATTCAAAATAAAAATAAATAAAAGTTTCCGTAAATTTTAAATATTGAAGAGTGTAATTCTTTTTAGGAGGAAGTAATAAGTACTACGTAGTTAACACTAAAGCTCTAACATATCCATTCCAAAAAAAACCAAGACGGCTAAAAATTTCCGTGCAAGAGTGAGTGAATTTGTTCAAAGGTACATCAAAGAACAGTTCGAAGGTACAACTGTACAAGCCATGTTCCAAGGCTGAGAATATAATTAGAGTTGTGGTGGTCACAATGTTTAAGAAAAAACAACCCCCCCACGTTGTTTCTATGCCGTGCATGATGTCCGGCCTTTGTCCTCCCACAAACAAACCCCAATTAATTTACTTTGTTAATCATATTTCTAGCTGCTAATGACTCTTCATTACAACATTTTAATTGCGTGCATGCATTAGACCCGGGAGCATCGGCTTCAAATTAAAGGTTATGTTTTGGTTAGTTAACCAAATAATTGTTTTATTAGTGGTTGGGCAGACATGTCGAGGTTACCATGATGTTTACCGCCCTCTCGGCATGCATGCGTGGAGTCATCAATTTGTTAACTGTGATTAAGTAAAGAGGATTAAGGCACGAGAAAAGAATAGTTTTACCATTAGGGGCGTTTGTGTGCGGTTATGGGAATGATTAGAGTGAGGGTGGTTTTGGGTTGGTTTGGGTCAGATATAGAAGTGGGCCATGAAATGGTTTGGGTTTTGAAGGGCGAGCATGTTCCGCGATTGTGATTGGTTCGGGTTAATTGGGGCCTGCCCGGACCCCACTATCCCTCCTTCTCACCCTGTCAACCCGTTGCTATTACCCGTTTCACTTTTTCGGTACGGTTCATCCCTCCTTCTCACTCTTCACGAGATTTGATTAAAAATTAATTTTAATCTAATCTAATTTAGTTTGATTT